ACATGTTGCTGGGTATTTGCGAGGATTACAAACGCGTTGTTATTAATGCGCGTCATGAGTTGATCCTAATACGAGCGCGCAACGACAATAATTGTCTATATGGAGATTCTGCACTGGAGTCTGTGATCAACATATTCAAGATACAATGGCGAATGCCACACGTGTTGTTGAGCGAGATTAAGAAGCTGTCAATGCTGCGCGCTCTGGAAAGCGGACGTTACCTCAGCATGGGTTTCCGCTCGTGGGATCTATACGAATTTCCGCTATTGCAGCGTACGACCAAGCATTCGTGGGCCATTAAAACCGCGACTCAACTGGAGAAGCCGCGATATGTAATTTTTGTTCTGCAGACAGGGCGTAAAAATGTCATGTCCGAGGATACGAGTCGATTCGACAACTGTAAATTAACCAACGTGAAACTCTATCTGAACTCGGAATGTTATCCATACGATGATATAAATCTGGATTTCGATAGAAGCAGATGGTCGATTCTGTACGACACGTATGCGCGTTTCTGCAAAAATTATTACGGATACGAGTATCTCGAGCCGAGCCTCACCATCACACGGTTTTTACAAAACGGTCCGTTTGTGATTATCGATTGTTCTCGACAAAACGAATCGGTCAAGAGCGCAACGGTGGATGTGAGATTGGAATTTGAGTGTAAGGAAAACGTGCCTAATAATACCACAGCGTACTGCCTCATCACGCACGATCGCGTGATCCAGTACAACCCGTTGACCAACATTGTGCGCAAAATCACCTAAATATGTTTACACAACTACGCGTGCGAGGGAGGGGAGGAGGATACATAATCATGATGATGCGAGATGTCTGATGTTAGTGAAGTAATACCTCTCGACTGACTCACATCGAAGAAATCATGTCCGCACCAACGTTTGTCGACCTGCAAGGATTTATCCTAAACAAACGATTTATCGTAAAGGAAGCGGCAATCCTGAGAAGAAGATATATCCTGTCGCATTATTTCTTCGCATGCCCTGTGCCGTGGAGCGTGCTTATAAAGTCGGAAAGGCGCCAGGTCTCGTGGCTAACTCAACATCATCACAGCTTACAATGGGAGGATGGAAATGTTCCATACTGCATGGTTTAGCACTTGATCACGGCAGCTATCATTGGTATAAATGAACAAGAAGACGATGAAGAGTCCTCTCTCGTGTATGTAAAAGGACTCGAAAAGCGAGAATGGCTGGCCGAAATAGTGGACGATGCGAGCAGCGGTTTCATCATTGAGACCTTGGATGCCATATATGAAGATGTGCCTGCATTAAATAAATTAGATCCCACATACACTCTACGGTGTAATAAACATGTAAAAAATTGCGCGTTACAAAATGTATTTAAATTATTCAATTGGTGGTCGGTTAATCGCGACGATCATCCGTTTTTTGAATAAACATATTATTTACATACTATTCTCTTTGTTATTTTTCCTAACCAGATATTTCTAAGAATTCCTTTTACCCCCACTACTTTTAAAAATTTCTCACGCAATCGTATTTCTAAGAATTTCTTTTACCCCCACTACTTTTAATAATTTGTCTTTCCCTCCAGATATATTTCTAAGAATCCCCCTCTCTTAATATTTTAAAAATAACCGTTACTCGATTATTAGTACCTTATTATACAATCAGTCTTTCATTGACCGTTCTAACTGACGGTTCACTTTTTAATACCCTCGGTTCAAAGAAGCAGCAGCAGCATGAATTACTACATGCCGAGACATGAAGAAACGTTCGAGAAAAAATGCGACGAGTAAGTATAACTTTTTTGTATTTTTTATATATTTTATTATATATTTTTTAATTTTATTTTATCTTTTTTATCTAATTTTTACAGCGTTTCGCTGGAGCCTCGTGCGGTTCGTATACTTGGAAGACGATACGCATTGACGGCAACGGAATTCAAATTCCTCGAAATCGGCATCAGAGTGGATCCGCCGAGTCACGTGGAGATCGCCATAGGAGATCATCGTGGAAAACAGCTATTACTATCTCTCGAAACGTGGAAAGGACTCTACGAGCAACGCCACGCTATTCACAATTATCTGAACAATGACTCCTCCTCCAACAACGATGTGTATAATTTCATAAGTGTCGGGCCGCTAACAGTGCGATTTCACAAGATAAACGGCACCAAGCTCATAAGTCTCGAATCGGCGGACGTGCGCATGATGATGGTCGAATCGACGTTACGTCGTATGTTCGAGCTCGATTCATGTATCGAAATAATGTTCGATCGTTTGACGAGGCTCGTCGCAACGGTTGATATCAAATATACTCAATTCTCCAATATTGCATCCACTGTAACGAATGCGAGAGAATTGCCGAATGCGATACGCGCTAGCAATGCCTTCAACATGCACCAACTTGTCGATTGCGAGCTGGTGGCTTTAGTTTTTAATATGTAATAAAACTTTATATATAATTATGTATTAAATATAAGACAAATAAATACTTATATGTATATATCATGGTGTACTTTATTTGCGCGCCACCCGTTACATATTTTGCGAGATATAATTATTGTGTCAAGGACATTGTTATATCCAAGCCTCAGCGAGAGAAAATCGATAATTTTATCTTACGAGGCGCACGCGACGGTTTCATTAAGAGACAGAGAGAAAGAAGACGCACGCATTCGAGAGAGATGCGGCGGCGAGAGAGATTCGGCGGCTCGGGCGGCGAGAGATCGGATGTGGCGGCTCGCGGCGAGAGAGAGATGTGAAGGAGGGAAACATTTTTTTTAAATTGTTAATATTTTATTCATTACTTTTTTATCTAATTTTTACATTAGTTTTTACATAATTTTTTTATACATTATTCTTTATACATATTTTTTCTATAAGGATATCTAAGGAAAGAAGAAGGGAAACATTTTTTAAATTAATAAAATTTTATTATATTATTTTTTTCATTATTTTTATACATATTTTTTTATTTTTTTGTACATTTTTTTTTATTTTTTGTACATTTTTTAATATTTTGTACATTTTTTTATTTTTTGTACATTATTTTTTAATTATTTTTTTTTGGACATTTCTTTTTCATTATTTTTTACACATATTTTTTTATAAGGATATCGAGGGAGGGAAACAGTTTTAAATTAATAAACATTTTGGTATATTGTGACGACCCGATTAGCCGTCACTAGTCGCCCGCGCTCATGTAAACGGCCCCTTTCGGGGCCACCACACGAACACGTTGGGAATCCGCCTTTCGCCCCCACCCGTCAATCGGCCCCCTCCAAGCTAGTCTTAGAGTGGGGTGGCCGACGGGTATAAAGAGCGGCGCAGCCGAGACTTCACCACCAGTCCCGTCCTGGTCCCTCGAGCGTACTCAGGGATCACTCCTCAACTCCCACACTCCAAATCACCCCGGCCGACGAGCGTTCTCGTCGTGCAGGCCGAGCGTCCTCGGTCACCGGGTCCTGTCCGTAAATCACCCCGGCCGACGAGCGTTCTCGTCGTGCAGGCCGAGCGTCCTCGGTCACCGGGTCCTGTCCGTAAATTACCCCGGCCGACGAGCGTTCTCGTCGTGCAGGCCGAGCGTCCTCGGTCACCGGGTCCTGTCCGTAAATCACTCCGGCCGACGAGCGTTCTCGTCGTGCAGGCCGAGCGTCCTCGGTCACCGGGTCCTGTCAGTAAATCACCCCGGCCGACGAGCGTTCTCGTCGTGCAGGCCGAGCGTCCTCGGTCACCGGGTCCTACCTGAAAGTCACCGGCGCCCGACGGAGCTCGCCCTTCTCAGGGCGCCCGTACGCGTGTCCGCGTTGGAAACTTTAGCAATAAGTCGTGTCCGCGTCCGTATAATCTGGTCGCGTCTCGTCCGTAATATTTCTATCCGTCAATCCTAGCAATAAGTCGTGTCCGCGTCCGTATAATCTGGTCGCGTCTCGTCCGTAATATTTCTATCCGTCAATCCTAGCAATAAGTCGTGTCCGCGTCCGTATAATCTGGTCGCGTCTCGTCCGTAATATTTCTATCTGTCAATCCTAGCAATAAGTCGTGTCCGCGTCCGTATCATCTGGTCGCGTCCGATTATACTGTGCTGTGTATAATGGTTTGAATCACGGGAGAACCACAGGAAGGTGGCCCCGAATAAACTCTACTTTTACCAGAGCAACCGTGTGTCATTGTAAATCTGAGTCTCCCCTCTTCCCGAATCCTGGCACCGGCGAGCCGATCCGTGGCGTCGGGAAAGATGCTTCGTTACAATATTATTAAAATATATATTTTTATTCTTAATTATTACATTACCGCCGGCATTAGCATTACCCGAGGTGTACCGCGTGGAGGTTGCCGGTCGGATTTACACCTCATATGTATGTGTATGTGTGTGTGTGTGTGTGTGTGTGTGTGCGTGTGTACTTGTACATGTGTTTCAGTAGAGATAAGGACCCCACGGTTCCTCACTTCCGTGGTATTTAATGACTCCAAACCCTCTCTACTGTGTGTGTAAATAAAAAATAAAAAATAATATATGTAAAATAAAAAAATAAAAAATATAAAAATATAAAAATATAAATATAAAATATAAAAAATATAAAATATAAAAATATAAAAAATATAAAAAATATAAAATAATTCTTCTGTACGGTGACAGCGAGAGTGAGCGGAGAGAGCCGACGAGAGAGAGAGCCAGCGCGTTGTACCGGCGCGACGACAGCAAGAGAGGGGGTCGCATCACCCATCGCTGTCATCAGACTCGGCATCTGCACATAGAAATATAATAATTTAATATTTTATATATATTTTTTGACATATTATATATATATATATATATATATATATATACTCACGTCCTTGACAGGTGGGACAAGCGTTGGCCAGGTAGAACACGTATAGTCTTTCCTGGCAATCATCGCAACGCAGTTCGGGTACATTTATGTACCGCGATGTAGTGTGTCCCTCGATGGTTGTGATGCTCAGGAATCTGCCCCTGTTTCTCACGTAACAGCGAAAGCAGATCCTGACCGACCCCATGGTGCGGCGAATGCCATGACATACGACGCCACAGTGCATACCCTCGCTGTCTCGTCGAGGGATGCAGTGGCGCGTATGCCATACATGCGGGACCTGCACGACTCCCGGACAGCGTTGTCAGTATCGTACCCATCGTCATCTTCATCTTCATCGTCATCGTCATCGTCATCGCCGTCTTCATCAATGGGTACGATATCGACCTCCATCTCCTCAATGTCATCCAGGACGTTGTTCGCCTCCCTGTCGTACACAGGATCGTACATCGCACCATCACTGTCGCTCTCGCTGTCGTCGTCGGAGATGGTTATGACCTCCATCTCGTCATCATCGGAGATCACCATCACTTTTGCTCGCTTTTTTCCATTTTTTAATTTTAAAACAATTCACTCACTCACTACTTCTATGATCGCCAGTGGTCACCGTACTATGACCCGGCAGTGACATCGGTCCTCATTATATATCCCGTCATCCCTTTGTTCATGCAATGATGCAATTATCTCCGAAAGATGATCTCCGACGAAACAAAAATAGCGGCTGCTCAGTAGTTGTCTATCGACATGTTTACACCTTCCGCAAAGACATATCTACTCTCTCAGAACACGTTGATATCACATATGTTGTACACCTATTTTATCACAGAAAAGATAAATAGGCTGCCGACAATAAATCTGGCGATGATGATGATGATGATGACGGTTCTCTCCTATCTGACTCCTCCTCCATTTCTTGGTCAGAATCATTTTCGGATGATTGTGTTTTGCATGACACCGATGGTGAAGGCATGTCCATGTAGCCAAAATCATAGTTGTCCACAGTGAAATAATCGACACAATTTTTGTATCGACGTTGATAACATGCGACTCGCTTGTGTCGCTTAGACGTTCTGGTGCATTTAGATAAATCACCAGCCACTCTTACAATGTCTTCATGCGTTTCCAGGAACTGGGCTACACGTCTTGTATGCGGTTTTCGCACACCAAGTTCGCGATTTCGTACATATTGTACAATTGAAGTCGCCGCTTCACGTTTATTACAAAACGGCTTATCTTTTTTTCATTGTGACAGCATACCTCGAGATGTCTATACCATCTCTCGGCAGTCTTATAACACCCCTTCTCAAAACACCTCGAATGATCTTTTACCGCGTTCTCCATTTTTTCGATGTCTATCACTTTTTTACACGTGTTACACTTGTAACCTCAGCCTATTTTCGCTGACATTCGCTGCAATCCCTGATCATCGGTGCTGGACCGTCAATATGCGTTCGCATCCACGGCCGATTGTAGTGTTCGAGGCAGCGACGATATGTCTGAACCTCCGGATCCGTCTTAATGTGCTCCGGCAATTTTTTCCCACAAATGCTCTACGAAATATCCGCACTTTTGCAGTAAAACAATCTTCGGAATATATTGTAACTGTTCGGCACTTAAACTGAGAATGTCGGGAGCACTTGATAGTATTACAAACATCTTGAATAAAGAGAGCGTGCGCTCGCCAGTGGTACTATGGCCCGGCAGCTGCATCGGTCCTCATTATATATCCCGATCATCCCTTTGTTCGTGGGATGATGATGCAATTGTTAATTCGCAAGAAATATTTGCGCTATCTTATCGGCAAACTTAGATATCGCTGATAATTCTTTAGAAATTCATAGATAAATTTCACCTCGTCGGATTGACACGTCGCGCAAACATGTCGCAACCTGTATGGATCATGTATCAACCCGTTTGATGTCGGCAAAAATTTGTTCTTAATAATTCGCAGAATTACTCTATCTTGGATTTTCGGAGAAATTTAGATATCGCTGTAATAGATTTCTTATTTGGATTTTCAGAGAAAACTTAAATACAATTTCGGCGCTCAGCCTGGATT